TATTCAAAATACACTGCTCTTTATACAGAGCTTTGTGAGGACCAACTCCATTGGTCCTGAAGTGAAAACAACCCACAGCATTGGTGCAGAGTGATAAAACTTAACTATAAACAGTGTGAACAACAAGAGAGATAAAGAATTATTTACATTCTTCTCCAGCTCTTTCCCAGGCTTTTTGCCTGGCTAGAAACTCTCAGTTTCTCTCTGACTGAATCAGTCCCACATGGTGCCAGCCGTGCCCGTGGCTCCATCCCATCCCTTGGATGTCTCCAAGGTAAGCGGGGTTGCCATGGGGATGGGGATGCTGGCATGGTGACTCAGAGCTGCTCCCTGCCAGGCTCCGACACCCCGTGGGCTGTTCCCACCCCGGCGTGGGGGGCTCGGAGCCCCCACACCCCCCACACCTTCCCAGGCTGCTCCAGAGCTCCAGCCCGGCCCCGGGCAGCGCCGGCGATCCAGGGGCAGCCACGGCTGCTCTGGGAGTGCCACCCTCAGGGGAGGTTGGGATGACATGATGGTTTTGGCCTCTTCCAACCCAGCCCATGCCAGGGTTCTGTGGTGCCACAGCTGCCCCTGGGCAGGCTGGGCCATCCCTCGCTGTTACCCCGAGGCGTTGGGGATTTTATCCCAAATCCTGCAGTGCTGGAGTTTGGACAGCCAGCGCTGCCCTGAGGGTTTTGTTCAGGCATTTCTCTCCCAGTTCCCATTCCATGCTGGATTTGATGGAATGTGATGATCGGGGCGTCCCCACTGATCCCTCGGTGCTCTCTGCTCCTCTGTTCTTCCCTCCAATGTTTTTTTTGGGATGCAGCCCTCGCTGCCAGGTGAAATTGTCCTCCCTGGGCCCTTCTGGCACAGGGGCTCTCCTTTCCAGCCTTTAGCACACAAAACATCCCTGCCAAATGACAGCTCCGAGGGAAGAGCTGCGCCAAGCCCGGGGCACCAAGCTCGTTTAAGAACAATTCATTAGAGGGGGGAGGTTTTTTTTGAATGAGGTGTTTTTCATCTGGGAAGGGAGCTGGGCCAGATCCATGGAGCAGCAGCCTCCTGTGCTGCCTCTCCAGAGCTCAGCTGCTCTGCCAAAGCCTCAGAGATGGGTTGGTTTTTTTCTTTTTTTTTTTTTTTTTTTTTTTTTTTTTTTTTTTTTTTTTT